CCAGGTATAGTTCCAGCTACTTGGAAGGCTGAGGAGGAAGGACTGCCTGAGTCCAGCATGTCAAGGCTGCGGTGGCCATGAGCGTACCACTGCGATTCAGCCTGGGTGAGAATCCAACTCAAAAAAAAACCAAAAATTTTTTTAAAGTCTTAAAAATAAGCTATATCATTTAAAAAATGAAGCTATATCATATAAACCACGCTGTGAGCAAGAAAAAATAGTTTTTACTTGTCACCTTCAGGTTAATCAGAAAGTCTATTAAACGCTAATAAAGGGAATCTCAAAAACGAATAGGTGTAATTCAGGAAGTCAGAAATTTCCAAGCAGAGAATGTGTTTTCAAACCAAATGCCCTCATTTCTTTCAGCACTACAAAAAAAGAAAAGAAAAGAAAAGACAGTAAGTCAAGTCCCAGAGGAAGAAAAAAATAAATAAAATTTCGTGTGTTCTTGTTTTTACATCTGTTGATGTATTTAATTACATTTATGGTCTTGCGAATGTTGAACCAGTCCTGGTTCAAAAGAAGGATGAAACCTACTGGGTCATGGTGGAGGATTTTTGAGATGTGTTTTTGGATCCAATTTGCTAGAATATTGTTGAGAATTTTTACATCTATGTTCATAAAGAATATTGGTCTGTAGTTTTCTTTTTTTGTTGGATCTTTATCCAGTTTGGGTATCAGTGTGATGTTAGCTTTGTAAAATTATTTGGGGAGAATTCCATCTTCCCAATTGCCTGGAATACTTTCAATAGGATTGGTATCAGCTCCTCCTTATACGTTTTGTGGAATTCTGCTGGAAAGCCATCCCGGTCCAGGGCTTTTTTTGTTGTTGTTTTTTTTTTTTTTTGTAGGTAGTTTTCGTATGACAGAATCAATTCCCTGGGTTGTAATTGGTCTACTTAGTGTCTCAGTGTCTTCTTGTTTCAACCTGGGGAAGCTGTATGATATCAAAAAGTCCTCCACTTCATTTAGGTTATCAAATGTGTTTCACTATAGATGTACATAGTAATCTCTGATAATCTTTTGGATTTTTTCTGAGTCAGTTGTGATTTGGTCTTTTGAATTTCTGATTTTGTTTATTTGGGCTTTTTGTTTTGTTGATGTTTTCAGTGAACCTACTAAAGGCAATCTACATCTTCAATCCAATACCCATTAAGTGACCAACATCATTCTTCTCAGACCTGGAAATGACAATACAGAAATTTATATGGAAACATAAACGTCCACGAATTGTCAAAACAATCATTAGCAAAAGAAACAAAGCAGGAGGTATCACACTTCTGACTTCAAACTTTACTCTAAGGCTGCAGTAATCAAAACAGCCTGGTATTGGTACAAGAACAGGTATACGGACCAATGGAACAGGACAGAGATTTCGGAAGCAAAGTCTCAATTTCTCAACCGACTCATCTTTGACAAAGCCTCCAACAACAACCATTGGGGAGAGGAGAACCTATTCAGTAAATGGTGCTGGCAAAACTGGCTGTTCACATGCAGAAGATTGAAACAGGACCCCTACCTATCACAATACACAAAAATTAACTCTAAATGGATCAAAGACCTAAGCATAAGACCTCAAACCATACGAATCTTAGAAAATGCAGGAGACAACCTTATGGAAATTCTAGCAACCAATTCCTATTCAGAACCCTAAGTGCCCATACCATAAGAAATAAGATAGACAAGTGGGACATCATCAAACTGACGAGCTTCTGCAAAGCAAAAGAAACCATCAAAAGAGCAGGGAGTCAGCTCACAGAATGGGAAAATTTATTTGCCAACTGTATATCTGACAAAGGCCTAACATCTAGGATCAACAAGGAACTCAAATGGGCCGAAAAGCAAAAAACAAACAGCCCCGTTAAAAAGTAGGCAAAGAGATGAATGGACACCTCTCAAAAGAAGATATAGGGGCAGCCAACAGACACATGAAAAAGTGCTCAGCCTCACTCATCATCAGAGATACAAATCAAAACCACATTGAAATACCACCTAACCCCGGTAAGAATGGCCATCATTAATAAAACAAACAACAGATGCTGGCAAGGATGCAGAGAAAAAGGAACGCTTCTACACTGCTGGTAGGAATGCAAACTAGTGCAACTTCTTTGGAAGACAGTGTGGTGATTTTTGAAAGAACTAGAAATTGACCTTCCATATGACCCAGCAATTCCCCTATTGAGAATACACCCGGAGGAACTCAAATCATTCTACAAAAAAGATAACTGTACATGCATGTTTGTTGCAGCTCTATTCACAATAGGAAAAACATGGAACCAACCATGCTGCCCATCGAAGCTGGACCAAATTTTTAAAATGTGGTATATATACACAATGGAATATTTTGCAGCCATAAAAAAGGACAAACATATGGACTTTGCAGCAACTTGGATGGATTTAGAGTCTATCATACTCAGTGATCTCTCACAGAAACAAAGAACAGAGTACCATATGTTCTCACTCATAAGCGGACCTTGAACAATTATCATAATACTATAAGAAAGGGGTTGGCAGTAGTGGGAAACTGTCAGGAGAGGGGGTGGGATTGGCAGTTGAGAGAAACTGCTAGGGGAGGAAGGGGCACACCTCATCAACAAGGGTACCTACATAATCAACGTTTGTATACCTAACCCTGAATTGCAACCCACATCTTTATAATTAAAAAAATAAAATAAAATTTCAAAGCTGGGAAAAGTCTCAAATCACTTGATGCAACTTTTCATGAGGGAAGAACACTATAGGTGATATCATATGAGATACTAATTATGCAGTTATAGCTGAAATATGAGTGTCCCACTGGTTGGACTATTTTATCCATCATACAATGAAAGGTAGAAAGAGGTAGACTACACACCAACTTTCCATCTGTGCCTCCATGCAACCCAACTTATGCTACTAAATTGGCAGCTTGTACACATTGCCTGATTCCTACAATCAGGAAGGAAACAAAAAATTAAGAAAGTAACACCTAAATGCCACTAAAAGCTGAAGAGCCTGAAAATATACTTAATCACCACAGGAAAATAAAACAATAGACTAAATTGAAAAATGTTTAATTACTTATTCAGACTAGAATAGCAACTTCAACAACTCCTAAAATACATTCAATTAGTAAAAGACAAAACGTCTCAGCTTCAGAGACCTGCTAACTATAACAAGTATATAATGTCTGTCTGATCCAAGTCACAGAATTCAACATTTTCTTCATAAATATTATTCATTATGCATTTACTTTGTGTCAAGTAAAAGGAACACAGTGGTGAAAATATTACTCTCTTTTGATTAACCAACTACTTTTAAGTCACTACCATTTTCTCTGAAACACAGGTTTTGACCCAGAAGGAGTTTAGATAGTCAGGTATAACTTCATCTTTATGAAAAAAAATTTTAAATGGGGAAGTGTGCATAAAGATGCAATATGGAAAAGCTGATATAAAATGATACTATATTTGTCATTTTTTACGTATTTATTTACTTATTTTTTTGACTTGGAGTCTCATTCAGTTGCCCAGGCTGAAGTGCAGTGGCACATTCACGGTCACTGCAGCCTCAGACAGTTAGGCTCAGGTGATCCTTCGGCCTCAGCCTTCCAAGTAGCTGGAATCACAGGCAAGTGCCACCATGCCTGGTTAATTTTTTGGCTTTATTGTAGAGACAAGGTCTCATCAAATTGCCCAGGCTGGTCTTGAACCCCTGAGCTCGGGCAATTCTCTCACCTCCGACTTCCAAAGTGCTGGGATTACAGGCTTGAGCCACCAAGCCCGACCTATATTTGTCTTATTTTTAAAATCTTATTAATAAATATAATTTGTCCTTTCAGTTTGAGATACTGGATTTTCCTTTCTTTCCACTTTCTTATTTTCCTAGGGTCATCTTCAACTACACTCCTGCTGATAGTCCTCTTACACATCATGATTTTGTGATATCCCCATGCTGTGCATGCTGTTTCTTTTGCCTAAAATGCTCACCTCATCTCCTTGGCCAATTTGTCAATTTGTATTCAATTCTTCAAAACTCAACTCAGATGTTACTTCCTCTTCTAAAACTTCTGAATAAATGTGCATGCACACACACACACACACACACACACACACACACACACACACGAGTTATACCTCACATCTATGTTTTATTTTTTGAGTTGGAGTCTCACTCTGTCGCCCAGACTGGAATGCAGTGGCCGCTCCCGGCCACCGCAGCCTCGACCTGCTGGGCTCCAGTGATCCTTCCGCCTCAGCCTTCCGAGTAGCTAGAACTACAGGTGCGCGCTACCACACCGGGTTAATTTTTTTATTTATTGTAGAGATGAGGTCTCGCCAAGCTGCCCAGGCGGGTCTCGAACCCAGGGGCTCAGGCAATCCACTCACCTCAGCCTCCCAAGGCGTGGGATTATAGGCTGAGCCACCGAGCCCGGCTTCACTTCTATGTTATTTCAAGATCACATGCACGCTAATAATAGTATGATATCACTTAACAAATCCATAGTATAATCATCTGTTTACAATTTATCTGCCTATCATAAAGATTTTGAACTCATTAAGGACAAAGAGAGCCGTATTCATCCCAGCATCCTCAGAGCTTAACAGTATGCCTGAGACACAGTAGAACTCAAGAAATAATTATTGAATTGAATTTCATATTGTGATATACTTCATCTATAAGAAATATGAATACTGAATGAAGAAAAATATAATCATGTTTAAAGATTGTTTAACAACAGATCAATAACAATGTTTCATAAATTTAAACTTCTTTTCAAACATAAAAGTTACATTAATAGAATAAAAAGAACCTATGCTGATAATTAAATGCACATGGAAGATTAATTACTCTGGTTAAAAGAAAAAAATCTATTCAGAAAAATTTAGTTTCTCATCTCATTCTGTTCCCTTATCTGTAACAACTGAGTTGGAGTAGATCCCTGCTGCTCTTTCAAGTTCTGTGATTCCTTGTTAGTGCATAGCTGAAAGTATCAGTATCAGTTTGAGATTTCCATTTACCTATATTAGGACCGTCTCAACTTTCTGTAAGCTGTCCCTCCACTATCACATGCATGCTAGCATCACATTTTTACTTACTTGTAGCTTGCTATTATGACATATGATACCTTAGAAACTTACTTTGTAAATATGTTATGTCACAATGTATATGGAAAAATGGTGAACAATATTTACCAGTACCTTTAGTTTAAATGGTTCTATTTATTTTGAATTAAAAGGCAATATTTATTATGGCACCCATTTCAACAAGTATTTACTGAGTCCTTTCATAGTGTCAGAAACCTACACAAGTGATGAGAAAGATAATAAAGTATCAACTATATTCAAGTCACGCAATAGGAACTAGAGATTAAAAGTGACTAGATAAAACAGAAAAAGAACAGATCACAAAGAGACGAAAGTCAGTCAAAGTGTAGATTTTAGATTTGACATTATAAGGAATGGGAAAGTTGACAGGAAAGTAACAAGTCAAGCTGCCAAAAGATAACTTGGAAGAATGAATGGAAGCAGAAATACACATACTAGTTATAACTTCTAATGGTGAAGAGGTGATGTTTGCACCTCTACAGTCATTAATAGAATGTGGTCAACTATGCCCTCTAAGTCTGTTTTTAAAACTACTCACCCCTCTAGATCTCTACTTTGCCATCACCTTAGCAAAAGCTACTACCATCTCTCACAGGAATAGTAGCTTCCTGCATCCTATCTAGCTCCCTTCTAATCAATCTTCATACAGAGCATTTTAAAGATGCAAATCAAATTATAGGTCTTTCCAGCTTAAAATCCTCCAATCATTCCCCTTAAATTTTTATGACAAAGGTCCAAATCCTTTGAGCGCCATAAAACTCTGTACTAACAATCTCTTCTCATTCCACTCCATTCCTCTGAGTCAGTGCTCAGGCTATCCCGGTCTTCTCGTAGTTCCTCAACATCCTTCCTGCCCTTTCCTAAAACACACATTATTCCAGCAGCAGCACACAGTGAAAACTTAAAACTTCATGCTAAATGAAAGAATGAATCAAAAAAAGAAATACATAGAAAGCCCTCCATATAATGACTTTTCCCCTTTTGTTCCCAGAATCTACTATAGTTTCATGCAGAGGGGAACAAAAGAAGCAGATTATCTGAATGTTTGATTTGCAAACAAGGTATTCCCCATTAAGACTCCAAATGAACCATTTTCCAAAAGGTAATTATTTGATTATTTTTTAAAAAGCAGATAACAGAGAACAGCAGTAAATAGCTACACTTAAAGGGAAAACTCAGTATAAATCTATATGGCAGTAGAAACAATGAACAACTTGGAGCCAGTTGTGCCAACTTTTAATTCCTCTGTATCTCTAGAGTAACTATATGACTTTACCTTTCTAGGACTTAGAACCATAAATGGGTAAGACTAATCTCTATGGCCCTGATGCTATGGCATCTAATTTTTCTACATATGAAAGACACTACAGTTTCGCCAATAGTAAAAGGCCAAGTGGATGGAAGAAGAGAGGTCTAAATGACTCTCTTAGAGCATCCAAATGGAACACAGCCTTTCCCACCTTGATTTTTGCCCAATTAGATCCATCTTAAAGACTTCTGAACTTCAAAATGACAAGATAATAAATGTTATTTTAAACTTCTAAATTTGTGATATGTTTCAGCAATGAGAGAAAACTAATACCAACAGATTTATAAAAATGTCTTTCATTAGGTCTGATTCCAATCACAAAAACAAATCTAGATGCCTAGCATCCTTAATGAGATTCTTGAACTTACAACAAACATAGTCTAATATGTGCTATATTTTTTCCAAATAAGCAATGTTTTCCTCTTTGAAACAAGTTTAAAATAGATGCTTCTCGAATATCTAGAACTGAACTGATCCTAGAATTCTTACAATCCTTCCAATACAAGTTACTGGGAACTTTCCTGATGGATTATAATTAAATATTTTCATATAAACTGACCATTAAGATCATCACATTTATATTCCCTAAAATAAAGAAAAGTATACACCAAATTTTGAATTAAACTAATGTGTGAAAAAATAAAGATTTTTAGCTCTCTGGGCATTTCTATACCCAAGCTTCCATATTAATCACATAGAAATGAGCCAGATCCTATAAAGCTTATTACACATATAAGCATTTTTCATAATGTTTAAATGTCATTCATCTGGCCAGGCATGGTGGCTCAAGCCTATAATCCCAGCACTTTGGAAGGCAAAGGTGAGAGGATTGCCTGAGTCCAGGTGTTTGAGTTCAGCCTGGGCAACTTGGTGAGATCTCGTCTCTATAATAAATCAAAAAATTAGCTGGGTGTGGTGGTGCTTAGGATCGCCTAAGCCCAGCAGGTTGCAGTTGCGATGGCTGAGACTGTGTCACTGCACTCCAGCCTGGGTGACAGAGTGAGACTCTGACTCAAAAAACAAAAGTCATTCATTTTAATAATAAAGCAAATATAATGAAAGTCTTAGAATACGTATACCACATATATACTATTAAGATTAAGATGGGCTGGGCTCGGTGGCTCAGCCTGTAATCCCACGCCTTGGGAGGCCGAGGCAAGTGAATTGCCTGAACCCGCGGGTTCAAGACCCACCTGGGCAACTTGGCGAGACTTCATCTCTACAATAAATCAAGAAATGAGCTGGGCGTGGTAGCATGTGCCGGTAGTTCCAGCTACTTGGAAGGCTGAGGCGGAAGGATCGCCGGAGCCCAGCAGGTCGAGGCCACGGTGGCCTAGAGCGGCCACTGCACTCCAGTCTGGGCAGCAGAGTGAGACACCAACTCAAAAATAAAAATAAAAACATTAAGATGTACAAGAACATCTCTATAATTAATCTTCCTTCAAAGTATCTATCCATGCATAGGTTTATAGAAGTTTCAGAGACCAAGATGAGAAATACACCAACATGAAAGAGAAGATGGTGGCAGAAAGGAAACTGGTTACATAGAAGAAGGAGGTTAATCAACTAAGTACAGTCATGCACTATATGACATTTTGGTCAATAACTGCCTGCAAATACGATGGTGGTCCCAAAAGATTAAAATGGAGGCTGGGAATGGTGGCTCACACTGTAATCCCAGCACTTTGGGTATCTGAGACGGAAGGATTACTTGAACCCAGGAGTTCGAGACCAGCCTGGGCAACCTAATGAGATTCCACCTCTACAATAAACAAAGAAATTATCTGGGCGTAGTGACTCACACCTACAGTCTCAACTACTCAAGAGGCTGAGACAAAAGAATTGTCTGAGCCCATAAGGTAGAGGCAGCAGTAAGCTGTGACTGCACCACTGCACTCCAGCCTAGACAACAGAGCAAAACCGTGACTCCAAAAAAGAAAAATAAATTAAATTCAGTCAGGCACGGTGGCTCATGCCTATAATCCCAGCACTTTGGGAGGCTGAGGTGAGAGAACTGCCTAAGCCTACGGGTTTAAGACCAGCCTGGGCAATTTGGTGAGACCTCATCTCTATGATAAATCAAAAAATTAGCCAGGCTTGGTGGCATGTGCCTGTAGTTCCAGCTACTTGGAAGGCTGAGGTGGAAGGATCGCCTGAGCCCAGCAGGTCCAGGCTGCGGTGGCCATGAGCATTCCACGTCAGTCCATCCTAGGCAGCAGAGTGAGACGCCAAGTCAAAAATAATTAATCAATTGATTGATTGATTAATTAAAAATCCACCTCCCACAGTGTGGACAAACCGTGAAGTAACCTAGCAGCCCTTAGAAAGGTTGACCCATGTTGTATAGTATTGTTTGGCTCTTTCTCACGTGTGTCTCTCTGTAGAGCTTTGACACACTTCCCAATACCAGGGTGCCAAAAAAAAAAATGTACATACATTTTAAGAAATGTTATCTATGCATTACTTTTTGAACTTGAATTGAATTACGGTAGCAATGTATAGTATGACATTCACTCAAAAGATAGTATTAGTCATATGAATACTAGCATCATCATGTGACAAACAGGACAATATTACAATTTTAATATAGTTTTTTTCCTTACTCCAAATGTGTATACATTATTTTGTAATTCTATATTATTAAGCCAGGCGCAGTGGCTCACGTCTGTAATACCAGCAATTTGGGAAGCCGAGGCAGGAGAACTGCTTGAGTTCAGTAGGCAACAAAGTGAGACCTTTCTCTAAAATATATGTATACTTTAATAAAAATAAAATGGAGCTGGAAAATTCTTACTGTCTAGAAACATAGTGATGTTATAGCTGTCCTAATATCATAGTGCATTAGCTTTCCTATGTTTGTTTGTTTGTTTGTTTGTTTTGAGTTGGAGTCTCACTCCGTCACCCAGACTGGAGTGCAGTGGCACGCTCCCTGCTGGGCTCCAGCGATCCCGCCTCAGCCTTCCAAGTAGCTGGAACTACAGGCACACATTACCATACCCAGCTAATTTTTTTAATTTTTATTATAGAGATGAGGTCCCGCCAAGTTGCCTGGGCGGGTCTCGAACCCATGGGCTCAGGCAATCCACAGTCCTCGGCCTCCCAAAGTGCTGGGATTACAGGCTGAGGCACCAAGCCTGGTCTTCCTATGTTTAGACATGTTTACACACACAAATACCACTGCATTACAATTGCCTACAGTATTAAAAAAGGTAACATGCTGTATAGGTTTGCAGTCTAATAGCAACTGGTTATACCATATTATAGCCTAGAGGTACAGTAGACTATACCATCTAGGTTGACATAAATACACTCTATGATGTTTGCACAATGACAAAATCGCCTAAAACTCATTTTTCAGGATGTATCCCCATTGCTAAACAATGCATGACTTTAACAATTTTAAGGATAATGGAAGTCAGGTTTATCACCATCAGAGATAGGGCTTACAAACATAGAAAGAAGCTGGGTAGGGTGGCTCATGCCTGCAATCCCAACACTTTGGGAGGCCAATGTGAGAGGAATTGCTTGAGCCCAGGACAGAAAGAGAGAAAACCAGAATTGAAGCCAATAATGTTGGATTAGAATTGAAGATATTAGTGTGAATTCATGGTTTTTAATATATATAAATAATGAAGAAATAAATATTGATGCATGTGTTTGCGCACA